CATACATAAGTACATGTGTACATTCATAATTTCGCACGTACATACATTCACATGAACATGTCTACACACACATTCATACATACAGTGAATGACAAAAACCGGCATACTCGTCGGCTCAACAAGTTTTAAAGCTTGATTGCCAGACTCAATGGCCAGGCTGGGATTGAGCCTCCCGCCAGAAGCAGACGAGATTAATACTGTTTTGTGGTACTGTTGCTGCCCGCCGGTGTCGAGGTGGGCCGAGTCGCCGAGGCGCCAAAGTGCCCTTCCCACGAGCATGTGAGTCAAGTGTGTGCCGAACGTGACCGACAGTCGTCATGCCTGCGCCACAAGCAGACGCGACGACTGACACCCTAGCCTCGGAAACCCCCTCCGGCCGAGCCGGCTTGACGACGGTTGCCAAGTGGGAGTTGTACCGCTTACCCGTTGGTCCTCCCGCCGGTCCGCTGGCCGAAAGGTGTGTCGGCATCTTCTGCAACTCGTCGCTGGGCGGCCTGACCTGACACGGCAGGCCGAAGAGAGAGGGCATCATCATCATCATCATCATGACCATCGACTTGTTGCCGACTCGCTCGTGCGCCTCCGCAAGGCCTTGCACCGCGTCGGGAGACGGTGGCAGCGCGGCCAGGCTGGCCTCGTGATTGGCCGGCCTCGCTGGGCTCCGGTGATTGGTCAGCGGCGGTTGCCAGGCCTCGAAGACGCCTGGATTCGTCTGCCTGGCGCCCGCGACGCCGAGGCTCCAGTCGACCCCGTCGGCCGGACGAATGGCCGAAGGCGGGCAGACAAAATCGTGGCCGGCAAGCCACGAGTCGGTGGTGAAAACGGGAGGCGGCAGGCCGAATCCGAGGCCGAGTCCGAGTCCGGGACCGGAACCGGGGCCGGTGATTGGCAGCGCCGAGTCGACCAATCGGCTGGGAGCTTCGACTTCCGCCGGCTCGATTGGCTGCGAGATGAAGCCGTTGACGAGGGGCGAAGTGTGTCGCCTCGGCAACGGCGTCAAACTCGAGGCAGCCGACGGCCTCGGCCACGCGGCGATCTGCTCGTCGGTCGGCGGCCTTGAGAAGAGGCCGGGCAGCAGTTGCTTGGCAAAGTCGACGGCTCGACTCCAGGCCTCCTCGAGACTCTGATCCGCAGGACGTGTGGGAGGCACGGCGCTGGTGCTTGTCGTGCTGTTGCTGTTGCTGTTGCTGTTGCTGTTGTTGGTGGTGCTGGTGAGGGTGGTGCTGGTGCTGATGCTGGTGCTGGTGCTGGGGCTGGGGCTGGCAGTGGGGACGGTGGCGGTGGTGGTTGCGTTGACGACCGACTGGTCGGTCTGCGAGACGGGCTGTAGGCGGCCGGTGAGGTGGTGCTGTAGCAGAGCAGCCGCGGTCACTTCAAGGAAGGAGGCGGAGACGGGCGCCTCGAGTCCGACGAACGTCGACGATGACGCACAAGTCAACGTCGACGTCGACGTCGACGTTGGGGTGGGCGTCGAGGTGGTCGATTGGTGTTGCGAGGCCGGGCGGCCGGGCCAGAACTGAACGGGGCAGCAGAG